TGTGTGTGTTTTGTATATGTATGTGTGTGTGTGTTTGTGTGTATGTGTGTGCTTTGGTTTGTGTGTGTGTGTGTGTGTGTGTGTGTGTGTGTGTGTGTTTTTTAATCGCGTATCTTCTTATGCTCGCAGGGGCTATGTATCTCTCTCAGCCCATGTTGGTCCTGGCAGCGAGGTTAGAAACATCCTAAATCATCTTAATGGTGTTGGTGGAGGTGTAAAACACCTGAAAAAGTAACACAATTACAGTGTTCTAATAGATATACAAAGTTAAAAAAAGATAGGCCTCTGCCAAACTTACAAGCATCGCGCTAAGCAATTTCACACATTGGCGATTAACAATGGCGTCTGCTGATGATTTAAGTTTGTGATATTGTGTTTCATTCATGTACATAATATGCAAAGCTGTATATGTAAATATTATTCAAAAGGTATGTATGCCATTATAAAACAAACTCTCAAAAGTGGATTAATATGGGGGATTTATGGTTATTTATTCATACGATCTATAGGACTAATTAATTGAAACCAATGCTGCTATTGAAAACAAGACTGGAAGCCTGGTGACAGTGGGCGTTTAGTAAAACAAACAAAAGTATATAAAGAGAGAGAGAGGAAAGAGAGAGAGAGAGAGAGAGAGAGAGAGAGAGAGAGAGAGAGAGAGAGAGAGAGAGAGAGAGAGAGAGAGAGAGAGAGGGCAAGCATGTCAACGTGTTTGACATATTCTGGGAGCGGGAAATGCTTCAATACCACACCGCGTAAAATTTGTTTTCTATACAGCCGTCACAAATCTACAAACAAGTCGCTGAAATGTGAGCTTATTTTACTTTGTCATGGAGGGATAAAGATACAATTTTTTGTTTCCATGAAAAGAGTTTTTGGGCGCCCATTGACATAGCTTAGATCATCTAGAAAAGGGGCTTCAACTCTGACTTTCAGGGCCAACCTGGGCTGAGAGAGATACAAAATCCTACAAAATGACTGAGATACTCAATAAAATGTATCCCCATAAAGGAATCGACTTCAGGTCTTTTAGGTGCGGCGACGAAGCGCCTTTCCATTGCACCATAGGCGCTGGCCTGTAGATCCAACTAAAAAAAAGGGGGGGGGGGGGGTTGCTTCAATTCAAAGTAAACTGAGCTCAAAGTTGACCAAACTCTCTCATTCTTGCGCAATGCACAAATCTACACTTGCTAAATCTTTGACGTCCGTTTGGCTTGGTCTATCGGAGATTGACGTTAAGTTCGGAGTCTCCCGCCTTTTAAAAAGCCTTACAGTCTTGAAATTGTTGTTAAACTAACACAATGACAATGACAATGACCTGTGGTAAATAGATCATAGGTAACATCTTTGATATATACGTTTTTGACTCCTCAGTTTTCTAAGTTAATTATTACCGTCTTCACTATCCCCCTTACCACCCCAAATCCACCCTCCCCCTAGCCTTACCCACACCCCTAATAATACGAACCCCCAGCTTTAGATGTCCATATACGGTAGGAAACCGCAATTGCCCCAGAATGACAAGTTTCTATCTCAGTGAACTCTAAGTGTTGAGAAGTTTGAGTCGAAAGTTTTCAACTAGAACAAATTAACGAGGCCTAATTTAAGAAAATTAACGTTTGTTTTAGAAAGTTTTGCAATACAACAAGGTCATACTAGGATTATATGTGTCACAAGAGAATAACAAACAAACAAAAAAAAGAAGTAGAGGCAAGGACGATAGATGCTTGATAGGAAAGAAGGAGCGGACCAAGCCGGAGCACCCGCCAACCACCCAAAGAAAATTATAGGAATAGGAGCTCCAACATTATTTAGCATATTGCATACGAT